TAAGGTTGTAGAATCTTAAGCCGGTCAACGGCTTTAGACCCCGTGGCGTTGGGTCGGCTTAAGTATAGCTCTGGGGGTCCCTTGGTTTGAGAAGCAAATAAAGAATAAGGACGGGGTGAAGGTAAAAGCAGATTAAAAGGTAAAGAACTAACACACCCGTGTTACATCAGCGTTCAATCCCCGACCATCCTGACAGCTGCCTGTCAGGACGTGAATGCGACTGGTAACGTGAATGGTTGTGAATGGCGCCTGACAGCTGGGTGGACAGCACTTCGGATTCATAGTCCTGAGGTTCCAGGTTCGATCCCCGGTGGAGGCGGAGACAAATGGGCAAAATGTTTTTCACCCTGATGCCCCTGTTACCTAACAGTAAATAGGTACCTGGGAGTTAGACAGCTGCTACGGGCTGCTTCCTGGGGGTGGAAGCCCCCCCCACCCCACCCCGGCCGCGGGGACACTAAGCCCTGAAATCATCTCAAGATAACCTCAAGAAGAGATAACGTCCAAGTGATGGGCATCATTCCTTTTCCCTCATCTCATCTCGAATCCTTATCCTGATCCCTTCCAAGTGCTATATAGTCATAATGGCTTGTCGGATTATCCTAATAGTTCCCTTCCCTCTCAAAGAAAATAAAAACATCTTGTGTAGATTAGGAGGGTTACCCAGTGGTGCCCGGGATAGTCTCTCTTCTCCAACCCCTGTTCCACCCCTCTTGTTTCCCTACCACCTTCTCCACCCCTTGTATTCTCCCTCTATTTTTCCAACCCCACATTTCACCACCTCTTTTCTCCTCTCCCCATGCCCCCCCCCCCATATTCCCTCCCCTTTCTCCCTCTTTTCATCCCCTCCCTGTCTCTACCTCTCATCTAGAGAGTGGGAGAGGGGGGTTGGAGACAGACATACCGACAGACACTCAAGCAATGCTGGGTGCCCCCTCCTTTCCCTAGTATATCTGTAAGATTGAATGTCTGTCTGTATGCATGTTGAAAGTTGAAGGCCAGATGCTTGGGGCTAGCCTCACCAAAATTTGCAGGGGAGCATGGTCCAGGGTATAGGACTGAAATAGCCTGGTAAGGGTAGGCCTAAGTTAAATGCTTTTAAAAATATTTGCATTTATTAATGTCCTTGTATGATTTTCTGGGAGTCATTTGGTGTTATTTTTCTATAATTTTTAGTGGTCATATATAATATATTTTCTGAGTGACTCGTACAGTTCTTTCAGTACTTTTTAATTAATTTTCTGAGAGAAAGAGCAGAGGATGAAGGGAGGGGGACCAAGGGAATGTGGACAAGGGAGTCAGAGGAAGATGGGGGGGGGGGGACTAAGGGAATTGGATGAGGGGATCATGGGGGAGATTGGGTGAAGAGTGCAGAAATGGGTAAAAGGGTGAAAAAAAAAGAGGAGAAAACGACCAGGGAAAATGGAGTTGAGGAATGGAAGAATGAAGGGAAGGGTGAAGGGGTGGACCAAGGGGCTCGTATGTGAGATTGGGTGATGAGTGGAGAAGAAGGGCAAAGGTTGGAAAGAGGGGGAAGATACCTGGGTGCAGCTGGCTACCACTTTATCTGTACAGTGGTACAGTACCTCCATTTACAAATTTAATCCGTTCCCAGAGACGGGTCATACCTTTTCTCCTTGCAGATATTTTTGTATGGCAGGGCAAACTCCCTCATTCACCCACTCCGTAAAAAATTGCCTTGTCACCCATGCCCTACTATTAGTCCTCCACATCCCGCACACATTTGACTTTACTGCACATCATATTTTTTGAAAACCCTTGGATTTTCATAATGATACACAAGCAAGGGTTTAATTTTCAAATTGCCACTCGCATTATCACACAGTACAAGAGTAAACCTATCTTTCATTGGCTTGTGTCTGGACAATGACTTCTTCTGCGTAATGTATGTCCTCTTAGGCAATCTTTTTTACAAAATAGTCCTATCTCATCACAATTAAAAACTTGTTGTGGTAGGTATCCCTCACTCTCTACAAAATCTTTAAATTTGTCAATAAATCTGTCAACCACTGGTTTGTCTGAGCTGGCAGCCTCCCCATGCCTCACAACACTATGAATACCACTTCTTTTTCTAAATTTCTCAAACCATCCCCTGCTTGCCTTAAACTCTTTTGTATCTGCAGCACCTGTTCCATCAGTTTTCTTTAAAAGGTCTTCATGCAATTGCCTTGCTTTCTCACAAATGATGGCCTCTGAAACGCTATCACCCGCTAACGCCTTGTTGTGTATCCAAATTAATGACAACTTTTCAACATCGTCAAGTGTGTGTTCTTTGTTTCGTGATTGTTGAACTGCCTTTTGCCACGTTAGCACTCAATTGTCCTTTTTCTCAGCAAGTACAGTGCATATTGTTGACATAGATTTGTTGTACCACCTAGCTAGTTCAATAACTCCTGTACTATTTTTATGTTTGTGAATGATCTCTGGTTTTTCCTCTATGGTCATTCTCACATGTGTTTTCTTGGCTTAAACCTTACCACTGGCTTTCTTGGGACCCATGGCGAGATATATATAATAAATTTTATGTTCAAATAGCCAAAAATCCGAAAAAACTAATTCTTTACAAAGAATTCAGGCGCGATAGTCACTAGGCGAAAGGCACTGGTAAACTGAGATACGATCGCCGTGCCACTACGCACTAGCTCAGCCCAGACACGTATCAACAAACTCATTTCCTGAGGCAAAGTTCGTAACACGATTCAAATTTTCTGAAAGTAACCCGAAAATTTCATAAATGGGGGCATTCGTAAGCCGAGGTGTCACTGTATAGCCAGAGAATGGGAAAACGTTGGCGTGCATTTTAAAACAAACCACATAATAATCGGAAAATAAATGGAATTTCTACAAATATTTTAATTTTGGACGGCACCGCCGTCCACAGGAAAATTGCGAATACAGTAATTATTTTAGGACGTCATTACCGTTATCCAGAAGCGATAGTACGTGTATTAAGATATGAGCACCATAGAAACACTGCATCAAACTTTGGTCTCACAGAGATCGTGAATAATCTCTCTACTATTTCACCATCCATATCTTTTAAAAAGTAATTCTAAAGTTGGAAAGAGTAGTGTATACTCCTTGCATATGCTTTTCATGTGATTCTAAGGTGACAGTTTTTTTTATCCAGAACCACCCCAAGATTTTCATATCAGAATTCTTTTAAGATTTTCCTATACTTTGTAGGTTGTGTGTGGCCTGTTTTCTCCTATTCCACGTTCCGTAACGTGGCATTTACTCACATTAAATTCCATTTACCAAGTGTTGCTCCATTCACTTATTTTGTCCAGGTCTTCTTGAAGGGCATGACAGTCGTCCTAAGTTTCTTACCTTCCCCCTAGTAACTTGGTATCATCACCAAACATGTTCATATAATGTATTCCTTCTGGTAGGTTGTTTAAATAGACATGGAGCATTACTGGTGCTAGAACTGAACCGTGTGGTTCTCTATTGGTAACACTTCTCCAGTCTGATACATTGCCTCTGATTACTGTCCTTATTTTTCTGTTGGAACATTTTTCTTCCATGTCAAACGTGTTCCTGTCACTCCTCCAGCATGTTCCAGTTTTTAGAACAACCTCTTAGGGACTGTCAAAAGCTTTTTTTTTAGGTCCAGATAAATGCAGTAAACCGAACCATCTCTTTCCTGTAAAAACTTTGTCTCTATTACAGAAACAAAGTAGATTTGTTACAAAGGATCTTGATCGAAAACCATACTGTCTGTTATTGTGTCATTTCTCTCCGGGTGTTCTTCCCATTTAGTTTTGATTATTTTTTCCAATGTTTTGACTGCTATGCGTTCCAGTGATACATGTTATTATTTAGAGGGTTTTCCTTGCTTCCATTTTTGTAGATTGGAACTATGTTAGCCTTTTTTCCATATACAGTACATACAGTACTGTACATTATCTGCCAAGAGTCATGTACACAAAGATGACCAAAAAAAATCTATTGAAGTAGTGCTGAGCTGTTACGGCCCTCTCGGGTCGCAACCGGGTTCTTTCTCTGATGTAAGTAGAGTTTGGGTATCCAGCCCCAAGCTAGTAGTGGCTTTCAAGGGATGTGATCCGTAACGCAAGTAAATTAAAGGGGAAGGGAAATAAAGGCAAAAACTTAATAGTATAATTAACACCGTCACCATAAATAATATAAAGATTATCACAAGGGGGAGGAATAAACACTATAATACACAACGTCGTCTTCCTCTGAAGACTCCGGACGTTCACGGTGCTCAACGGTGCTAAGCTCTTGGTCCTCTTGTGGCCTCACGACGAATCCTTCGATTCTCTTGAGTCTACCCTGGCCACAGGCCAGCCAAATCACAGTTCCACTGGGAGCACCGTCGTGGAGGCCTTCAACCACAAGTCCAGCCGGTAGCTGGCAGGTTCCAATCAGCAGCGCTGGTTAGGCCACTCCACGACCGATACTAGGGTAGCGAACCCTAGTCAGCAGCCTCGTGTGATCCCACAGACCACTCTCCTCACCACAACGCCCCAGTGGTTAAGCGTCTCCACCAGTTTTTGGGGCATGGGAGGCATGCCTGTTTCCATTATCCATTGCTGCATGATAAGGGTTAAGCTTTATGTTGTAGCGTATGCAATGAACATAGTGAAAGGGTAGCTGTGCTTGAAAATAATTTTCAATAAATGTGTGGTGAAACAGTAAAATCCGCAAAATAACCTTGTAAAATATGGGTGCGTCTTACGTGAAGGTGAATCTCGTGTGCCAACAAGTACAGTATAATACTTGCAATAAGAATACATATTATACTTGTCTTGTTTACATGATTATTATTATTTTGTATTTTTCCTGCAATAGTTTTGCAGCTTTTTCCAGACGAATGCCCCGTCCTTCTTATCATCGTGATGGAAAATTAAATAATAATGATAATGATTACATTTTTATTAATTCTTTATTTTAACACCTGTGTCTTGATGTTTGTGTAGTGTCTAACTTGTACATACTTTTTCTCTTTGCAGAGAGATCCTGAATTATGAAGAACTGATCTGAACTGGTGATAACTGTTGAATCTCATACCAGTGATAGATCTCGCATAATACTCGACAGTCAAGCTACATCTTTGGCAATGGCAGCTACATAACTCCACATCCAGTGATAGTGTTAAGACCTTGATGGACAGTGTTTATCCCCTCGTTACTTAACGTAAACAGATATTAAGGATGCTACCTTATTAGAGCTTAAAGTGTGAAAGTGCAAATAGAAATCGTAGTGATGCATGTTCGGTGTAAGAGAAAATGAACTCAATGCACAACAGTTTTGGTGGGTCTGGAGGGTACCCGGGGCCCTACCCTGGCTATGTGCCACCCCCAGCTGCCCTCCCCTACTATAACGGCTACCCAGGTGACCTGACTCAAGTATCCAGCCCCTATTATGGCAAGCCAACTGCCGTCCCTCCAGGTTATTCCTCAGGCATGGGCAGCTACTCTGCTCCACCCATCAATAACTCTTCTATGTACTATCAGCAGTATGGGCTGGGTTACCAGTATGGCTACACAAAATATGGTCTGGGTTCGGGGCTGGGCTCAAGCCTGGGCTCCAATCTTGGCTATTCTTCAGAGCTTGCAGGAGCCTCTGGCATCACCCCACCATCCCTGGGGGGTCTGCAGGCTCCCACCACAGACTTAGGGCTAACTGGCTCCATGTTTTCTAAAGGGAAGTTTAGTGGAGGGCAAGGAAGTCCTTCACCTCTGACCAGTGGATTGGGCCATGGAAGTTCTTCATCTCTTCTGTCACCTGTTACTTCTACTCCTCCATCACCAGGTCCACACAACTTAACAGGTGGTCTTGCGGGTACTGGAGCAACACCAAGCCCACCAGTAGATGTCATTGAATCCAAGAAAGATTTAGACAAAATGCGGCGGTGTCAGGTCTGTGGTCAGGTGTTCCGTCTGATGAGTGAATGCTTAGCACATATGAAATCTGTTCATGCAGTACATGAACCACCTCTCAGTATGTACAGCTTGCAACATGGTGCAGGGGGTCATCTAACACAGTCTCTCTCCTCCTCTACATCCTCTGGAGTTCCATCATCCCTGTCATCTAGTTTAGGCCCTCCAAACAACTCAAGAACAGGTGGAGTGGGTGCTCCAGACAGCCCTCTTATGGCATTAGAGCGTATGGGATGGGGTGAAAAACAGGGCCTACTTCCCTCGTTGCATGCACCCCCATCTCCCCTTACCCCTGCCTACACCCCTGCCCCTGCTGTCACCCCCGGGCCACAACACCCGTCCACCCAGCACCTGTCCACCCAGCGCTTGTCAACGCAACATCCATCAAGCACACACCATTCATCCCAGCATTCTTCTCAACACCCATCCACCCAGCACCCAGCCTCCCAGACCCCACCTGCTTCACACTCTTTGATGGAGGCCAATCATGGTGACCACCATAGCACCAGAACCCCTATAAGTAGCCTATCCATGACATACTCTATGAGAGCTGACCCACATGTATCTCAGGCCCAGATTAGGCATGCTTTTCCTGCCTGTTCTGTGCCAGAAAACCTCCCTGTGAATGATTCAAGAACAGAGGCAGCCTTGAGCTCAAATTATATGAAGCCTCGTAAAAGCAGCTCTTACTCGGTATCTAGCATCATTGGAGAAACCAGCGAGAGAGTAAGTGAGAGAGGGAGTGCTCTCTCCCAAGAATCTCCCAATAGCTACACAGGCCAAAGTCCATCAAGAAGACAGCAGTCCCCTGCCACAAGACCAGTAGTAACGGAGGTGTATGAACAGCATAATAGTGTTTCTGAACAAGTGCAAGATAACCATTGCTCACACGCTGGCTCTCGGATATCCAGTGAAGAATACTCAGTACCGGAGAGAGAAATGTCTCAGAAGGATCAAATAATGTCCAATGAACTACATAAACGTCAGCAACAGCATCATCAGCAGATCCACCATCATCAACAACAGCAGCAGCAGCAGCAGCAACAACAGCAGCAACAACAGCAGCAGCAACAACAGCAGCAGCAACAACAGCAACATCATCATCATCATCAACAGCAGCAACAAAAGCATCAACAGCAGCAATCTGAAGGACAAAAGAGCTTACTAGTATCTCATGGCATTATTGATAGACAACCTGAAGAACAGAAAACTGCTTCTTTAGATGATAAAAAAGATATGCCTGAGGACTTGTCACAGAATGCCTCAACCTCTCCATCACATACTCACCCAGCTCTCTCTTCACATCGCATGTCCAGGGATGACACCCCACGTGAACATGAAGAAATCCATTGCGACAAGCAAGATAGTAAAACCCAACAAAGCCGACACCAAGAAGACACTCTCGAGTCCCCTCGAATTAACTCCTCTCCACAGCCAAAGGAAGAGGAGCAAATTAATACTACAATTTTTAAGCAGGAACCAAGTCCACAGGATGGTTTGAATCAGGAGCCCATAGTCCACTCTGATGGAGTTGCTTCGGCACCAAGGGAACAGAGTCAGCAACAACGAAAACAGTCGTGGAGTCCAGCACAACCACAAACCTATGGGCAAATGACACAACAGCAGCAGCAAACAAGTTATCAGCAGAGTGAACAGCAGCAACAACACTCACAGCCACCACAACAGCCTGCACAGCAACAGTCGCCCCAACAACAGCACCAGCAACCAACACAGCAGCATCAGCAGACAGCACAGCACCAACATTCACCACAACAGCTGCAGCAATCTCCACAAATGCATCAGTCTTCACAACAGCACCAACAGCCACCACAGGCACAACAGCCACAACAACAGCACCAACAACCAGCACAGCAGCAACAGCCACAACAGCACCACCCCCCTCAACAACGCCAATCACAACAACAGAGTTATCCTGGCTGGTCTGGCAGTGTAGGGTCAGGGTACTCTGGACCTGGTGCTCAATACGCTTATGGATATTCTCAGGGTAACAGTGTTCAAAGCAGCACAGGAAGTTCACATTCCCAGCCTCCAATGGCAGCACACAAGTCATCAAATTATCACCCGATGCAAAATAATTACTCCACACCATATGCAGGTCCACCAGGTACAGGCTACCCCACAGATTTAGCCAGTAGAGGAGCATCAGGGCAACAGGGCTATCCTCAGAGTCTGTGGTACACTGCTGGAGGTGCACGTATGGATTCCAAAACCGGATGGAATCTTTGGACTAGCCAAGTTCATCAATCTTCGGGTTTTCCGCAATCATATGGTCCTTATTCTTACCCTTCTCCCAGTCAGCAACAGCAAAAATCACAGATTCCATCACAGTTGCAGCAACCATCACAGCAGCAACACCCACAGTCATCACAACATACACAAGCATCACAGAAGCAATCACAGCAAGCTCAAGCACCACCCCAGCCACAACAAGTGCTGCAGTCACAGCAGGGTCAGATACAACCACAAACACCACAGCCTGCTCAGTCACAGCCATCTCAGCCACAAACTCCAGCACCACCACAGGCTCATACCCAACATCCACAACCACCAGCTCAACAACCTAAACCATCTCCACAACATCCACAGCTGCCCCAACAATCCCAGCTGGCTTCGCAGTCCGACTCACAACACCAAGAAGCTCGGGCCCAACCACCAGATAGCCAACATGAAGAGGTGCCTCTGCAGGAACTGGCCCAGCAAGAACAAACTGAGGATGAACAATCCCAGCAGGAACAAGCTCTGCAGGAACAAGCCCAGCAAGAACAAGCTCAGCTGGAACAAGTTCAGCTGGAACAAGTTCAGCTGGAACAAGCTCAGCTGGAACAAGCTCGACAGGAGCAAGTCAAGCAGGAGCAAATCAAGCAGGAGCAAGTCAAGCAGGAACAAGCCCGACAGGAACAAGCCCGACAGGAACAAGCCCGGCAGGAACAAGCCCAGCAGGAACAAGCCCGGCAGGAACAAGCCCGGCAGGAGCAAGCCCAGCATGAGCAAACCCAGCAGGAACAAGCCCAGAAGGAGCAAGCCCAAGATGTACAAGTCAAGCAGGAACCAATACAGCTGGAGCAAACCCAACAGGAAGAAACTCAGCAGGAAGAAACCCAGCAGGAAGAAATGCAGCAGGAAGAAGCCCAGCAGGAAGAAAGTAAACAAGAACAAAATCAGCAAGTACAGATTAAACAGGAAGAAAATCAGAAAGTACAGATTAAACAGGAACAAAGTCAGCCGGTGCAGATTAAGCAGGAACAAAATCAGCAGGTGCAGATTAAGCAGGAACCTATTGAGGAGGAGCAGCAACCAACCAGTCACATTGTGGAGGAGGAAAGTGACAGCTTCAAACAAAAGTTAGTTGAGAATAACAATGCATACCAACACCAGGAAGACCTTTCCATTGCCACAAATAATACTCATCCCAAGAAACCTTTGTATAAAATTGGCCCTAGAAGTAGAACCCTTGCTGCTAAACAATATAGTCAAATAGATGATCTAGATGATTATAAATGTACCATAACAGTGCATGAAAATGGTTCGGTTAATGGTTATGGTGTTTTGCCCACTCATCCTCTGGCAATCAAAAGTAATTCCCAGTCTTGTGATTCATCCGATAGCGAAGTTAACAGTGAAGATGGTACTCCAACTTTTGTGCAGCTCAGACCTGCCAAGCGGCGTCGGAAAAGCCAGAGCCGTGAGGGAGTGTTCATTGGGCCGAAACGTATAAAGCAGGCTCGCCTTGTGCGCGAACGACAAGAACGTCGTCATCGTAGTCTCCAAGAACGGCTACGACAGACAGAATTAGAAGAAGAAATACAAGCAATAAGAGTGGAGAAATCGAGTGAGGAAGATGGTCCACTAGGCAACATGTTAGTTCAGTCATCCATAATCTTGGCAGATGCCCATATGGAGGAGCAAGATAATGTAGAACAATGCATTGCCTCGATCAAAGCCCATCAGCTGGCTATTAGCTCTTCAGAAAATAATAATGACCTAGAAAATTGTGATAAATCATCCTTAAATGCATCTGGACAAGTAATTGGAAAAAAATCTAAGAAATCACACACTAGTAAGGTGTTCCATAATGAAAACTCTGTGATCATCAAGCACCTTCCTCCCACAGTGTCTAAACGGAAACTTAGGGCCAAAGACTTTAAGTGGAGTCATTACATCAAATCTATGAGGTATTGGTGTAGTGACTGTGGCCATGGATTTAAAAACCAGAAGGAAGTTTCTTCGCATTCAGAAGACAAGTGCAAGTGGAATTGTCTCTACATGCTTGAGTGCTACGTCATTGTTAAAGATGTTCAGTCTCATCCACATTATGGACCCAAGGTAATTTGAATATTTATAAAATGTTATTTATGTTGTGTTTATGTAGATTATTGGTTGAATGTGCATTTGCATGCTCATTAACAGATTTTCTCTGGCACATGGGAAAACTGGTTTGCCTTTTTAGTGGAATGCTGTTAATATTTTTGTAAATTTAATTACTGGGTAACAAGCATAGAGTCTTTACGATCCTGAAAATCTTCAAGACTCTAGTTTTTGTGTAATACAGTAGTAATAATACTAGGAATATCACCCGTTGGTAGGCTTGCTGTGCCTATAAATTAGTCCTGACACTCGGACTAGTACTCTGTACTAAAGGGAAATTTGAGCAGTATCATGCTTCTAGTGTACTGGGCCTACCACAGCAAGCTGTTCAATATATTACTTCAAATAAACACCAACTGTGTTGCACTACTAGGTATCTTATGTTCAGAACTAAACTTTAAGCAAAAGACACTTAGGCAATGCACAAAATACATTTTTAAATACTAAATATAATTTTGAAATTTACCAAGTTAATCAGAATTGTATTTTTCAATTCAGTATTTTATTATGAATGTTTGAAATTGCAAGAATACTTCATCATTCTGCAGTGCCATGTTAAATATGTTATTCAAGGGGCTCTCAACAATTTACAATAATATACAGCAATTTTATGATAATCTTTAGGAGTATAGTTTTATTATAACATTTAAGTTAATTCTTTCAGATATCTATGGAGATTTCTCCCGTCGTAAATTGATTCAGTGGTTGCAATAGGTAGTGATTTACTGTATGTTTATTAAAACTATCACATATCTTGCATTTACTTTCCTGTGACCTCCTTTTGTTTTGCATGAATTCCCAATAATATTTGCATCCTTACCTAATTTATCATAGTGTATGCATAGAAAGAGCAGACCAAGAGTTTATTTTTTAGTTAAGTTGCACAACTATCTTAACCAAATTGATCATATCATTCCATTATTCTTCCAGTGGTTTTAGTATTAATTGAGTGTAGTTTTCAATTTCCTTTGCTAATTGCAGATTTAATTGTGTCAGCCTCCTCCTTTGCATTATCTAGCTTTGGCAAAGTCTGCTTTCTTATTTCCATAAATTCATACACAGTTTAGCACATAGTGAAATACTGTACAGTACAACTGACTTTCATGAGGACGAAACCACACGCCAGAAGATGGGGAGATGACGACATTTTGGTCCGTCCTGGACCATTATCACAATCGACTTGATTGTGATAATGATAATGAACAATCGACTTGATTCAGTCCAGGACGGACCGAAACAACGTCGTCTCTTCATCTTCTGGTGTGGGGTTTGGTCATCATATCTTCAGCCACATTATTGTGACTCATCGTCTGCAACCGCCTTCCATTTTTTCTTTTAACATTTCCATCAAGTTGTAGCATGTCTTAATAATATTATCACCAAATACAAATGCATTTTAACCCTTTGCGAATGAATGTTGATTATATATTAACAATATACAGTATGTCCTATTGCAGAAAATAACATTTTATTTAGATAGAATTGCAGAAAATAACATTTAATGTTCACGATCTCGAACAAATATTTTCTAACTCGAATGTTTCCATAATTTCAATGCTCATACTGTATTCTGATTTTGTATTCAAGAGTTTCCATTTTACTCTCTTGCTGGCAAATTCCCAGAATGGGTGGTAAATCCAACATTCACAATTCTGCATGGTGTTATTTAACGCTGTTTGCTTCTGTGCGGGATACAAGTGTACAAGATGTTTCGGTTTTAACATTTAATTCCAAAGTTTTACAAGCCGTTATGAGTCATTGTTGCTAAAATCATAATATTTTTCCTAATAATTTTGTTATAGATTATTTAAGTTCATAAATATTAAAATTCATAGAGTTTCAAGCTAAAAAAAATAAGCTTTCAGCTTTTGAAAAGTTTTTTGAAGTATTTTCCCCTCAGAGATATGAGAATCAATGTTACTGTCATGAGAGATACAAAAACAGTTAGCATGTTTTTTTTACACACTGCTGCCACATGGACTGTGGCTTCACTGCAGAACTGCCATAAGATGATTGGGGTCACTGCAGTCAAAATCAGTACAGCCAAATTACCTTGAGCTACTTCAAAAAGTGTTTACAATCACAAACTTCTCAAAATCCTATTGATATTTTAAACCATTGCAATCAATGGCAGGCTTGTGTCAGAATCCCATTGATGTTCCAAATCATTACAACCAATGGGAGGCTCATATTAACCTAATTCCCACTCAAAACACAAATTTGCCTTGCCCCATCCACTAGCAAGTGGCAGGATCAATGTGACCCTGATCACCTACACCAATCCCATATACACTCCATTTTAGGAAGGCAACAGAATCGTAGGGAGAAAGACGTGGCTCAGGAAGGGAGGGTACAGAGCAGCATAATAGCTGCAGCAGAGCACCTCACAAAACGACTTCACAAACTCAAGGCATACTTTATTGCATTGCATTCTGCTGCTTCCGTATAGAAAATATTTATGGAGGGTGGGGGGCAAAGTGCATGACAAATTTCTACTGGAATTATCTAATCAGTTTAGCTGTTATGACTATATGGGCCTTCTGACAATAAAAATGAACAGCCTGTCAGACCAGGTAATCACCAGGAAAGGCTGCTCCAGAAAAACGGTTGAAATCCATAACAAATTAATATACGCAGCTATATTAATAATATTGCTGTTATGTCTGGGATTGTAATCCAGGAATAAATTCAAACACTGGCAGGAACGCCTAGATTTTGAGTGACGATTATTATCTCAGTTTTACTTGTGCACGATAACCTTATCAGATAATAAGCCATTACAAAATGATAACTGTGTGTTTCATAGGTCTAGGTTAACACCATTATGTCCATATAGATTTGTTGTGGCAATGTTTACTTTATTTGTACTGTGTAAAGACTGGGTGATTGTAACTAAAATCAGCAAATGACAATAACTGCATTAACTCGCGGATCAATATGACAATAATCAACCCTGAAGGATTAATACAGAATTTATGTACAGTACTGAACTGTTATTAGACACTGATTTGGCCCTCAAAAATCATTGGATTATACCAATTGAAATAGATGAACTGAGATTGTTGGTTTGAATAGAGTAAATAATGTAAATGACATGGAAAGATGTGGAGGGAAATTCTGTCTTTAAAGTATATGATTCAAGAAAGAATAGAGAAATGATTTGGTCATGTTGAATGAATGGATGATGATAGACTGGTTAAGAGAATGCATTAAAGTGAATGTGAGGGTAGGAAGAGGTGAAGACCAAGAAGATAGATTGACATTGTAAGTCAGGAAGCAAAGATTGAGGTCTAATAAGAGAAGTGGTGATTAAAGCATCACCACATTCATTCATGGCAAGCCTCCCATAGCAGTGCTTGACTGCTACATATGACTAGGCTATGTGTAGGTGCCTATGTTAACTATTATTAAAAATAATAAATATAAAATAATCTATACATGGAAAATACTGAGGGCCAGGTGCCAAATTTGCACAGTAAAATAAGTATATTGGAGTGAATATGGCAGGAAATGCAGATTAGTCGGTGAATAATAGAGGCGCCATAGGCACAATCAGAGAACACTGCATGACTATCAGAGGCCCATGGATGTTCAATATCCTCCCAGCAAGTATAAGAAATATTGCCAAAACAAAAGTGGAAGTCTTCAAGAAAAAACTGGACATTTTTCTTCAAGAAGTGCTATACCAACTGGGTTGTAGTGGCTATGTGGGCATGCGTGCCACCACAATCAACAACCTGTTTGATTAAGCTCTCACAATTCGAGCCTGGCCTCAGGTTGGGCTTGGGGAAGTAGAAGACCTTCCAGAATCTTATCCAGGTACAATGGAGTTAAATGGCTGGGTGTCATTTTTTTAGTAACTTTAACATTCTTTCCCTATAGAATATTACGCTTCTATTTCCACTTGGGTGGTGCCTTCCTACTATATAAAATTAGGGAATAATGTTGCCTATCAATGATGATGATGGTACTCTCAGTAACAAAAAATCCATATAATTTGAGGTATTTTCACCAAGTAAAATTTTGATTCTTATACAAAAGCAAGCTACCGACACACTGATGCAAACATTTAACAAAAGAATCTTTCAGTTTACTTGCGTGTGAGCAGATAATAGTTATTTTTTTTTTTTCACAAGTTAATAACATGGCTGCCATATGTATTGTGATTTTATGAGTACCGTATATAATGTGTATACAAAGTTGCCAGTACATAAATATATATTCGTGATAACCAACAGGGTGAGAAGAGTCAGTACTCACAAGTCAGTTACGAGAAGTTTAAAAGGTTAATTAAGTATAATACTACCAACAAAGATTTAAGCAACACATTCCTACATCGACATTTTTATTATTCAATTTGATTTTTTTTTCACGTCACATTCACCATGCCAAAGAGTTGATGATAATGTTTCTCACACTATACTGTACAGCAGAATCCAAATTTTATGAATTTGTGTTCTTGGGGACCTTGTGTATGAATGATCAGATTGCTTAAACAAAGTTTTAAGAAGTAGAGTTTTTTTTATAGCACTACATGAGATATGAAAAATACTATATACAGTACTATACAGAATATATATATTTAAAGTAGATTTTGCAGAAGTTACAGAAAATTTTGATTTGCAAAATCAAAATTTTATTTTAAAATATCCTGAAAATAGCACAATTAGCTGGTTTAAAAAGATTTGATTTATGTAGTATTGGTACGCTCTTCTGCACATCTGTGGTCTGGTCTCCCTCCACCTGTGCTCTGGTGGTTCTTTCTCACCGTCACAGGTCAGTTTGATCTCTTCCAGTGTGGGTATGGACTGGGTGTGCCCACGTTAAATACTGCCTGGAACAAGTGCAGTCATTCCTAACTGGAGGAAGCACAAAGTAATGTAACTGAACACTCAATGAAAGTTGCATTCGAGTCAGAGTGGTTCGAGTAAATAAGATGGCTACGATGTGTCTTATAATTCTCCTGTGGGTAAATAGCACAATTATCTAAAATTGTCACTGCATTTAAGCAGTGAGTGGTGCACAAATTTGCAAGGCAGAAGTTGTACGTTCCACCCCATTACCACTCAACCACACCTGCAGTCCCAACACCACATTGCTGTTCATTTTGGATGAGATGCTGTTAAGGGATATCAAAACGAAGTCTGTTATGTAGGATTAATGACCTAACCACACATCTGAAAATGGAGAAACTGCGACATTTTGGTCTGTCTTGGACCATTATCACACAACTTGATAATGGTCCAGGGCAGACCAAAATGTCATCATTTCTCCATTTCCTGATGTGTTTGGTCATCATATCTTCAACCACATTATTGTGACTCATCTTCTGCTAATGAAGGAAGTACACGAAAGCCAGTGCATGCCAGAACGACACTGTGTCGAGGTGGATGATATAGCGATGTGGCAAGAGTGCAATGATCATATTTTTTAAATTTTTGTTGTGCAAATGATTCACTCTCACAATCACAAACATACAAAATGTAAACATTCGGTTAATGAGAAATGTGGGAACTCTTAAATAAAAATGGTATTTCATTTGAATATACAGTACAGAGCATTTTGTTTCATGGTGGATGGTAAGTAAAGTTGATTACAATTTTGTCAGTTATTATCCAACGGCATTCTTTTATATGAACTGCCCAGCCCTACAATCTTTGCAGTATCTGTATTAGAAATTACGGCACTGCCATATCATTAGATGACAAAAGGATCAAATCCAGTTAAAGGACATGATATTTATATGCATGATGGTTTTACAGACATGAAATAACATGAATACTGTACAATGAAATTTGTAGACGGAAAATCCAAATGGTTATTGTAGCTCAAAACACTGGCTTCCTAGAAATCTCAGATGATCACATTAACTCAAGGCATTGAAAAGGTTAATATGATAAAATATTTAGCTGGTGTTTAGAGAGAGATGCCAACACTAAAGGTTTAGCAGAGGAAAGGATTTTCAGTGGTGTTTTTTATGTTCAATTCAGATGCTTTCTTACGCAAGATTATTCAAGGTTCCACCAGACAAGCCTCGCTTGCTCGTCCTCGGACATCTGTTGTTTATCGTATACATAAACAATATAGATATGGGAATTGGTAGCAACTTCAACAGATTTATAAATGACACAAAAATTTGATGTTATAAATTCACACAAACATTTGTAAACACTTCAGGAAGACCTAAATAGATACTGCAGGTGCAGTAGTTGATAGATTGGCAGGTGCATTTCATGCTAATAAATTTAGTCATATGCCTTGGAAATGAAATTAGAATCTTGAAAGTATCAGATAGATACTGTAATATAGAAACTGAAAGATCAGATTGTGAATGGGATCTGAGTATCATGATTAGTGGTAAACAATACTGCATATGTATGTATGAAATATAGCAAATAAAATACAGCATTGGGATTCATAATTCAAAGTGTTAGTAATAGATCCTCTAATGTTATCCTTTAACTTGTTAAGATTGATGGGCCCCATTTGGATCATCATGCTTTGCATGACATAATCCAAATGACAAAAGTTGCAGTTTTGGGTGTCATTTTCTTAACAAAGTTTGCAGTTTTGGGTGTCATATTTTCTTAAAGATGTAAATGTAATTGAAATGGTTTAGATAATGGTGACAGTTAATCCAAGTACTGTACTGTAATAAGAAATCTTGCTTTTGAAGACATTAAAAAAGGCCTGTAGAGAAATTTTAAAAATCATTATTTACATTCACTAAAAGTACAAAGAGTAACGGGGGTGACATGATTGAAGTACAGGAATTTCCCCAGCTATGAATGGGTTACATTTGTAAAGCAGTTACTGAGAATGTGGAATAAGATTTCTCATAGTCGCAATGCTATAAATGGGGGAATGCTTTCCCGGACCAGCAAAAATCATTACCAACCAATATTTCTGTAGGGAGCCCTTTCGGCTCTGGAGCTATTAGACTGATATGCAATATATCAGTCTGGGACATCAGTCAATTGGAGTTCAGCTTACTGGGGACCACGAGCCAGAACTTGGTACCCTCAGAGAGGCGAAGGAAGCAATGGCCTATGAAAACCCTCTTGTACTTGGGGGCATTCCATGTCTGCCATTGATCGGGGTTAGCCCCCAGAAAGGTAAGCATAACAAAACAGAAAATTGTAACCGAAGACCGAACAGAGGCAGAACTTCCCCAACCTAAAGAACAAGCAAATGCCTTTCCCCCGCCACGCCACTTGTCTGCGCAGCCCTCCTCCCCGGGAGGGGAATGGGGGGAGCCTGGACCCCTCGTGTCGGCTGCTCAACACCTTCAGTTCATTGGTTGATGCGATCTGGGGCAGTCCTTGTCTCTGGCCTCAGATTCTTGGCAGTTGTGTACCTTAGTGGTGTGTTGTGCGGTGTGTAGTGCAGTGGCCAGGAGAAACTTAGGAGTACTGGGGTTGCATGCTCTTAGGGCTATCTTACCTAAGCGCCCTATAAGTAGAGTACTACCCTTGAGTTCTAGGGTTCTCTTCCATAGAGGTTTCGGGAACCGCTTCCATAAGGGTCTTTGCTGCTCGGCATTTATCCCGCGCTTAGGGCCAGCTGGGGTTTTCATGGCTATTGTTTGGCTTTGGGTAGGAAGTGGTATCATTTACTGGTAGGGTCACAAGGTACTGCGCAGCTTGCCTAACTACGTGGTGGCTGGTTTCTGTTCCTTCTGGGGATGTTGTACTTTTGAGGGGTTTTTGTTTTCGTTTTGTTTCCTTGCCTGGAGGGGTAAGAAGCCTAGCATGATTGTATCACTCTGATCCACAGGTTACAGCAACGAGGTTGTTTGGTGGCAAACATTCAGCATTGACATTTTTATTCAAATTGTCAAGGTACACAGGGCATCCAGGTGCATTGTCCAACACAAGTAATACTTTAAAATTGATTTTTAACACAATATGATTTCACTTTTGGCACTAAGTGGTGTAAATATCAATCTTTAAATATGTCATGTGTTACCCAAGGCCTTGGCAGAATACTTCCACATCAATGGCAGAGATAATTTTGACACATTCTTTGTAGCTCTGGCTTATTCTGAATAGAAGAGACTTTAGTTTACAATCACCAGCAGTATTTCATCTTAAGCACAGGGTTAAGTTGTCTTTTGCTGCTTTGAAACCAGGCATTGTTTTTTCTTCCTTGGAAATATATGTTCTGCCTGGCATTTTTTTCCAAAACAGGTTGGTTTCATCAACATTAAACACTTGTTAAGTATTATAGTTTCTGTTTTCAATAGTTTTGGACAATTTTGGAGCAAATTCAGCTGCTCCCTTCTCATCTGCACAAGAAGCTTCACCACTCACTTTTACGTAGTGTAAATTTGCCCCACCCTTATATCTGTTAAAACACCCACAACTTGACACTTTTCATCTCTCACAATTGCACCTAATTTCTTCTTTGAATCATCAAAATGACTTCTTGCTTTTTCCTATATGAGCATAAGGCTGATGGATTTCTACTATGATTCTGGTCCTCAATTTAATGTTGACAGATTTTCCATGTCACAAATTAAATGTAATCTTTTCATTATTGTTGTCAATTTCAGCATTGCAGAACTCTTCACATGCTTTAAATTTGGTGTTTTGTTCCTTGGGATTATCCCAATTATTGAGGTGTTCATGCCTTAAGTTTTTGTAATCCATGTTGGTTTTTCACCGTTCTCAGAGCTCTTGATTATTTCTACCTTTGTCTGTAAGGTAATGGGTTACCCCTTTAGAATAGGTAATGCACTGGTGCATTACCAACACTTATCTTCTTCCTATCTGGCATTGTTAATGGTATTTTCCTCGATAAACAACTGAAAGTTCACAGAATACACAGCAAACATTTTGTTCCCAGTAGCTGAATCTTAAACAACATACACAGCACGTCAAGTCCTGGGCATGAGAATACTGTGGGTGTTTTAGTACCACCCTATGCCACTATGTAGCCATGCATATGCTTTAATAGCACTGGTCATAATTCTGGGGATGATGGAACAGGTTTGGATAAAGAATTGATGCACAAGTGGGGACTTAAGAGGTCATTTGGATGGATGGATGTTCATATTGTGGGCATTCGTATAACAGAGACTTCCTATATACAAATTAATCGAAGGATATAACAGAGTTACACAAAGGAGGCAATCTAAATAAGGTTTTAAATATATCAACATAAACTAAAACACAGAACATTGGGTATGAATTGGATAAATTTAAATTTGGGAACTGGTCTGTAAATAGGGTACCACCCGCATACCTCTCTCTCATCCTGTAACTACACTTGGGCAATTACTCAAACATGCACTGTATGTGAATGAGTTTGGGTGAATATCAATAGAAGCTGCCTCATATGGGCCTGTAGGTCTAATGCAGTTTCCCTTGTTCTTAAGTTCTTATGTTGTTTGGTACAGTATACATTATATTTACATATCGTACGACGACCCCAGAATGGATCTCTTGCATTGCGATGGTCTATTGTCCTGCACTGTGCTACTACTTTAGTTTTTGTATTATTATATTTTTTTATTTCTTATCTTCTGAACAGGTCCAGGAACTTCTTGAGGAGTATCAGGTGGATGGGCAGCACAAGTGCAAGACATGTGGAGAGATTATAGCACGCAAAGCAGACTTCCTGGTGCACGTGGACTCCCATAAAGACTTTATGCCATGGGAGTGCACCATCTGTGGCACGCGCTTCAAGATTCGAGGTTCTCTTAAGGAGCACCTGCGTTACACTCATATGAAAGGCCGGGTACCGTGCCTCAAGTGCAATAAGGTGTTCCCCACCTCTACGCTACTGAGACAGCACGTCAAGGTAAGCACTCATTCAGAACTTTAATACTATTAATCTATGACTATTTTCTATGTTGTGCATGCATTTTTTTTAACCCATGCAGAAAGGAGATGCACATGTAGGAATCTTCCCCAAACATCTCAGATGCTGGCTTTCTTTGACTTGAAATGTCAAAATCCAAGCAATTTTGCTTAATACACCTGCTAAAATGCTTTATTTGTATTTGGCAGCATCTAGGTAAAAATAGGTCATTATATTGGATATTGAAAGCAACACAAGAAAGGAGTTACTGGACTCGGCAAGTGCATCTAGAGCTAAATGGAAATGGGAAAAATATTGATCATATGAATTTTGAAGCAATGGGGAGGTACCAGTAATTAAGTCTTTGAAGGATACTCTCGAATTTAATTCTATATTTCAGACCACCAAGCACTGATCACATAATGATTAAAGAAAAAGTCATTATCTGGAGGAAAACAACCTCGTTGCTTCCTTGGATTACTTCACACGCATACAAGTTTAGCCTATAATGTTTATGAATTCATTTATTTTAAATAATGTATATGTAAAATACATGTGTATATATATATATATATATATATATATATATATATATATATATATATATATATATATATATATATATATATATATATATATATATATATATATATATATATATATATATATATATATATATATATATATATATATATATATATATATATATATATATATATATATATATATATATATATATATATATATATATATATATATATATATATATATATATATATATATATATATATATATATATATATATATATATATATATATATATATATATATATATATATATATATATATATATATATATATATATATATATATATATATATATATATATATATATATATATATATATATATATATATATATATATATATATATATATATATATATATATATATATATAATATTCTTTAAATTATGCTACTAGAGCTCACCAGGCTTGAATCTAGAGAGAGAGATTGTGCTTAATGTAGCAGCAGGTTTTGAGAGTGTGCTTAGTGGTATCATAGCAATATTAAAGCATTACTGGAAATTACAAGTGGTAAAAGTCACTAAATAGAGGGGGGGGGGGGTACAGGAGGAAACAGCCAGGTGGGTGGTACAGGAGTGAACTCTTTCATAACTGTAATAATGTGTCTCCATTTTAACAGTTGGGGGGGGGGGGTTGCTCTGAGGCAGAGGAAAGCTGGGGGAGCTTCATGCTTTCCTCCAGAAGCAGGGATTTTATTCCTTTTGTCTTGAGAATTGGTTCTTTTGTCTTCGCCCAACATCTTTTCTGGCTGAGAAAGGAGATGGTGGGAGTTGAGTGGTCCTTTGGTGATTGAGATTTGGTTGCTACTGTCGTGGGTTTATCACCGTCTCTGTCCATCTGACCAGTTGTGGCTGTGTACCATTAAGAGAGAGAGAGAGACACAGACACAGACACAGACAGACAGAGAGAGAGAAAGACACAGAGAGAGAATGAATGAATATTTGACGTATTTGTATGACTACGTGCAACTCCTTGTCTTGTGAAGTGGAGAAATGCTGTTGATGTACAGTGGTGATAGTTCTCATTAATGCTAATTAGTGTTTTAAGATAGGGTGAGGGGATGAGTGTCATTTTGTGTATCTTTAACCTTCTTGTCCTATGCTGCTTGCTTATCTTTCTCAGACTAACATTTCCCCACTTAATGAAAGTGGGAAACAAGTTAATTAATGATGATTATGATGATAGTGGAGCTATTTGAGGATTGAAAATGAAAGCATACATCATAAGAACAAAATTGGAGATGTATGGAAAACTTAGCTTGCCTTTAGTCATTTTGTCTGGCATACATCTCTATGATAGTGCACTTCTTCCTTCCCCAGCATCCTTCAGTCCTGGTTATTCAAATAAGTGTTGGCCATCCTGGATTTTGTTTTTGTCCTCTGGGGGTTATTTGCTTGTTTATTTGTTCTATATTTGAGTGTTTCTATCATGATGAGTATTTATGCCTCCGTTGTTGTGTGACTGATTATCTGTTCACCTCAAACTGCACGTGCCTGAAGTGATCATTTCTGGGTGTTTGGTGGTGTAGTCCCTGCCTATCCAGAGCTACTTTTCCTGGTGGGTTTGGGTGGCTCTCCCTGATAGTGCTGTATTCCTGTGTGTGTGTGTGAGAGTGTGTCTTGCCCTTAGTAGGGTTTACCCCAGTGACTACTGGGAAGTAAGAATTGACTCCAAAAACCTCTTCCTTCAGTGCATTTCACTTGCTGATCACCCAAACAGGGAAGAAAACTTCCTAACATCTCTGCAACTCAGTTCCACTGATGTCCCATTGTCCTTATTCCTTTTTTTTTTATTTAATTTAAGTAGGCTTCCTTTGTCCACTTTACCTTTTACCCTCAGGATCTTGTATATATAAATCATATCCCCTCTGCTGCTTCTTTCCTCTAAGGTTGTGAGGCCAAGTTCACTCAATCTGTCCTTATTATAGCTGAGCCATTTCAATTCTGGAACTAATCTAGTTGCAAACCTCTGAACTTTCTCAGGTTTCTTTTTTGTGCTTCACAAGGTATGGGTTCAAAGGTGGTGCTGCATACTCAAGTAATGGTCTCACATAGGCAGTATATATATGGAATTGAAAGCCCTTGTTTAGATTCCTAGATAATGCTTTTGTGTTTGATAACCCCCCATATGCTGATGATGTTATCCTATTCATATGAGCTCCTGATTTCCTATAATTGCATTTCCTTTATGAAGTAGACCAAGGGTCTTTGACTCCTCTGTGAGGCTTTGAGGATGGGTTGCAGTCTGGGATTTTTCTTCCGTGTAATTACCCAAGTGTAGTTACAGCATGAGAGCTATGCTTGTGGTGTCCCGTCTTCCAAATATTCTTTATCATATGATGCTTTGAAACTACTGATGGTTTTTAGCCTCTACCACCTTGTTCCAACTACCTGCCACTGTTTGCAAAGTGAACTTTGTTCTGGCTCTAGTTCCCAGTATGCCAAACACAAAGAGAACACTTGTGTTTGATTTGACCCTTTAGAATGGATCAATCTCATCAAAAGAGCTTCAGGAAGCCATTGGGGAAGGGTGATTCCCCAGAAAAAACATTTTAATGTAATGCTTTCTTGGTTCGTGCACAAACATTCTTACAATGCAACGAGCTTCCTATTTGTGTACATGTAGTGTCATCATATTGAATAAGGCTTTTGTGCTCCAAATTGTAGCTCCACATAGTTTAGAAAGCTGTGTTTTACATAATTAGTCTTTTGAACTATTACACAAAATAGAATTCTACAAACAATAAATACAATAATTTTTACACTGCTGGATAAAATAGGTCTGGGGAGGATACAGTATAGAGTATAGTGTTGCCTGCCCTTTCTTACTTAGATGGTTGCCACATGGTAATTAAAGTTGTGTTGAGCATATTGCAACAACATTGTCAGTTCAGGTACTGTACATCGTTCATGATCCTCTTTGATGCTGGTCTCGGCTCTCTGTTGAAAATTTCTGGATTTTGTTGAGCAAAGTTTTCTTGGGTGCTTAGCTGCACTTACCTATCAGTGACTGTGGGTGGAGTGAGATCTAGCTCTCTATATCCTTCCTCCTTGCCATTTATACCTGACCATGTGCTCTAAGGGTGAATTGCTACCCACTGTCAGTGGAAAATCTGAGACGTTTAGGGGATTGAGTACATGAAGCATGGCCACAAGCTCCCATCTACCTGTCGTAAAACTTTTAAGTTTGCCAGACATAACTTTTCCCACTGAAACTGTATTGCCTCTCCATTACACACTGTATCTTCTCTTAAGTGCTCCATTACTCTGTTTTAATAACTTTTTCTAGTAATTTTTCATAGAATGTATGTTATACTGGTTTGTAATTTGGTTTATCCTGTCTGTCCACTTATCTTGAATTGTGAAGCTGCATTTGCCATATCCAGATTTGTGGCACTTTAGTCTTTAGTAGTATATTTAGAGTAGTAGTCAGTGGATAACACAATGCTCTTGTTGTCTCTTTCAGTAGCCATAGTAACGACATGGTAATTACCTGATCTTACACCACATTTAGAGCTCCAGATATCTCTTAGATATTCATATATTGTTTCAGCTTGATTTTAAAGTCTTGTGTAATTCAGTACTGAATTTGTAAATATTTGGGTAGATTTTGAGAAGTGTTCAAAGATGGAGAATTTAATACATTCAAAAGTTATTTATCACATTGAGCATGCCAAACCTAATCTACAGTTTTAAGCTGTGGTATGGTTCCCACATCTAAAGAAATGAGCAGTACTGTGGAAAAGTTCAGAACACTTTAACAAAATGGATTCTTGCACAAAGAGGTGTAAAATACTGTAATAGGCAAGATTTTATATGTCCAAATTTGAAGAGAAGAGAAGAGAAGAGTAGAGGAAATTGATAAACCAAAATAAAAGGCAACGGTTGTAAATTGTATGGAAAGAACAGCACATAAATGATAACAAAATATGTATTCACCATAATTGTAATAACTCCAAGTTATTATTCACTAATAACTTTTAATAACACAATAATAACTCCAAGAAAATGACGGTCTGGATAAGAAGAACCTTTCAAATGAGAGATGCCGAACCAATGATGGTACTTTGTAAGACACTGTTGCTTTCTCGAGGCTGTTAGTTGGTGCACACTAACATCCTCTATTCAAAGCTTGAAAAGTTACTGACCTGGAAAACATACAGAGAACTGTTACTGCCCAAATCCATGAAATAAACACTCCCAAATTATGAATGCTGATTAAAACACCCCTCAAACTGTACTCTGTGGAGTGCAGTGAGAGAGATACATCATGATTTACACCTTGAAAATATTAAGTGTGACTGGTTTAAAATCTGCACACTGAAATAATTCCTTAGAAGACTAGAAGGGATGGTAGAATGTGCAAAATAGCCCCACTGAAAAGAAGGGGTAAAATAAGTAGGGTTGTTTTAAAAAGAATTCTATACACAAGGGGGCATACCTAGCAAACCACTTTTTGTGTTCAAAAGGGAACTTGATGAACACCTTTGAAAGATACCTGATCTACCAGGCTGTGATTCTTGCACCAGACTGCATACAGTGCCCTCTAAACCTGGTTGATTAGACGGTAGGCCTGGTCAAAAACCCAACCATGGGGGCATTGATCCTCGAAATCCTATTACATAATCATGGGTCAAAATAAACTCATCGGCCATATTGTGCTAAAGCTACTGCTAGTATTAAAAGATATTGTTTTTGGAAAGGAATTGAGACACCATATTGCAAACCTCTCTTCCTATAACTAGAAATACTGTAGTCCAAAACACATAATTAATAGTTAAATCACACAAAATGTTTTTATTCATTCTATTCTTTACTAAACTAAATACAGTACAGTAATATGTTGACCAGACCACACTAGAAGTTGAAGGGACAACGACGTTTCGGTCCGTCCTGGACCATTCTCAAGTCGATTCTTGAGAATCAGTACAGTAATATAATTTGATTCAGTCAGTATATGTGTGGTCATGTTGAATCAACCCTGAAATGCCCTATACAATTTTTGTTTTGCTTATCTGTTAATTCCGTTGGTCTTGTGGAAGTGCTTGTTGGGGCTGTTCGAGTCTGTAGTTAATATTAATTTTGTAGTTTTGTCTTCATGCTTTGTATCAGCAGAAAATCAAACCTGTCTGTGATATGCACCGTATGTCCAGTAATTTGCATTAGACATCACAGGATTTTAACATAGTAGGAATTAAATGTAGCCTATGTATAATAAGGATTAATTCAGTAACTACTCTTGTTAATTTGTCTATTTCCATATTTCTTTGAAGCAAGCATATAACTGTTATTCATATACACAAGGAAATCACACTACCATGATATATATAAATACTGTATGTGTGTGTGTATATATATATATATATATATATATATATATATATATATATATATATATATATATATATATATATATATATATATATATATATAATCATGTTAGTGAGATTTCATATATCAATGAGATGATCAATTGAAGCCATAAGGGGATTGCAACAGGCGTTTGAATCCTCTCATTGCTCGAAATGATTTTCTCACTGTTATTCATATACAGTACATATGTCTGAACCTTTTGATACTTTCTTAACAAATTTACTAATATATATATATATATATATATATATATATATATATATATATATATATATATATATATATATATATATATATATATATATATATATATATATATATATATATTGTATATATATATACTGTATATACAGGTATATATATTTATTTATTTCACTCTTACGTTTACTTATATTGCCTTTTTCCAGTCTCACTTTTCGTCAAACCTGATGCCTACTCCATCTTAGTTTTGAATATTGATCTTGATGCTTTCCGTATCTTGTTATGTATGACACTTCAGCCTGTGGGGTTTGGTCATGTCACACACAAGACGGCTTGAGTAAGTTAATTTTCTGATTGTCAAAAGCATATACAGTATATCATAATATCATTTGGTTAGGATGTATTAACTTAGGTTGGCTTGTGTTAGGCTTGGTTGAGTCAGGTTAGGTTAGGCAAGGTTAATAAGCTGGTAAGGTTAGGTAGGTTTTGAAATCCGTTGGCAAACCGTCTTGTGTATGATGTGACTTCTATCCTTCCCTGTACACTATCACATGTTTGCTCCAGAGCATCACATCTCCGGTAAATTTTATTGTGTAATTCCTTAACTATTCTATCCTCATTTTAAAATCTTGTGTGTTAACTTGTGTAAATTTCATTTTGTGTGTCTAACTCTTGTTTTTGTGCTTAAACTCTTTCCTGTCAGATACACTACCATTTCATTTTCTGTGTGCTTAATTCTTCTTGCCATGCTCTGTATTTAATGAAACCCTTGTAAACTATAAGCAAAGGACTTGTATCTTTCTGATGCATTAAAACTTAATTTTCACCAGGAAAAAATCATTTCCAAAAAGAAGGCCACCAAAAGTTTGGGTTGAGCAGCTATCCACAAGGAATATCCCAGAGGACCTAAACAGTTCTGGATATCCTCTTTAAGCAGCCAGCATCATTTGCTGCGTCTTCTAATCTTTGTTAAACTGCAGGTGCACACTCAACACTACAAGTACAAATCCACTAAGAATCGCGACGACGAATTGAAAGCGGCCATGGAAGCCACTGCCGGTGCTCTGGATCCCGATGCAGAAGTGGTGGAAGACGAGGTCGAAAAGCTCTCTGACGAGGCCAATGAGTACAGGAACTGGTGCAAGCTGATGGAGCTCAATGCCATGAAGAACATTGGTGTCAACACTAACACCCCTCCCTCAGAGGAAAAGAAGAAAATTGGAACTTCCAGTTAGTGTTGGTTGTGTGTGTTAGGCAGTGATGTGAATGCATGTTTGGAGAAGGAGCTTATTGGTGGTATTTGTGAAGGAGCACACAGCCATGACACAGTCCTCGGTCCAATATAGACATTAACATGTGTGGCTCATTAACCCTCAGGAAGGGACTTCTCTTGTGTTCATTGTGACAGAAAATATATTGTAAGGGTTCCTTTCAGATGCTGAGGCAGAAGTGAGAGTATTCTAGAAAGAATGTTGTATAGTGTTTAGTTGCACCCCTTTAGAAAATATGAGAAAGTTGCTAGAGGTACATAATATTTAGAAAATAAAATTAATCTGTTTGAAACAGGAAGAGCAATAATGTTAGTATTAATGTGGTAAGTTTGATACAGGGCAGTTAAGTATCTTTTGAAAGCCAATCTAAAATGAGTAAAAATTTATTGCTATTTCAGGTGTAAATGAAAATATGAAAATTAACTGATAATCTTCTAAATCAAGACATAATGGTGCGATAATTCTAAGTTAGTACACTATATGAATCAAGTGTTCGGTGTGTGTATATATATGTGGTGCAACAGAGAAGGTATTTCTATCCAGGGATGAAATAGAACTGATACTATCACTGGACTGTCTGCCTTTTGTACCTCTGAGTGCCATAGAACTGTGATTGTGGTGCAGATCTCGGTGCATGGGTCCGTTGTGGACTTAAAAAAAAACTCAAGGCAGGGGGGGTTGATGTTTTATATACGGCACAGGAATCTCAGTAAGGTCCACCATGCTCGTCTCCAAGACAAATGTGTGGGTGACTTCGTGTTTATAGCAGCTTCATATCACATGTTTGTACATAATGACAGTGTGTGAGTAGTTTATGTAAGTACGTGACCACCAGTGTTGTGCTTTGTTTGTCAAATTAATTATAGAGATTTAAAGTGTTCAAAGATAGGGACTCGTAACTTAGGTTTTTATTTGTACTTATGATTGTTTTCTACTACAAAATAATTTGTGGTTTATAGGCTATTTTTTGTCTAAAATAGTTGTGAACTGAAAGCATTTACATTTTATGCAGGTTTTGTGTATCTGCATATAGCATTTATGAACAGCAGGTAATTTGCTTTTAGATATGTTGCCTAAGCTTATAGCTTCTATTATCTAATGCTAGAGAAAAGTGTACAGGTGCAATGTAAGTATCTCGGTGCTGCGCTTCTTGGCTACTGTTGGTTACAGAGCAAACAGGGTGAATTATGTTAGGCGTTAAAGGTTTATCAGGTTAATTTTTATTTCATCAATATTTGATAAGGTATTTATTTGCTTAGCTGACAGTTACTGGCAGTGTGCACATCCTGTCTTTTGATCCCATGAGTTAATGTGAATGAGTTTTAATCCCATGAGTTGATGTGAATGAGTTTTGATCCCCATGAGTTGAATGAAAGAGTGTGTGTGTGTTTGTGTGAGAGAGAGAGTGTGTGTTTATTAGAGTGTATGTGTGTGTTTGTATTTGTGTGTGAGAGAGAGAGAGGTCAATAGTGTAAATGGTGTTGTGTTGTGAGTGGCATTATTGTCAGTAAGATGAACAGGTATCCACTGGTAAACATGTCATTGTATGCTTATAGTGTCATGTATACCATCAAGTGATTTGCAGATGATGATAATATTTTTTTAAGAACAGTTAAATGTTCAGCTTTGTGGAACATAATAGCACATGAGAAATCACCTCTGGACATTTTTTTATTTTCTCTCTCTCTCTCTCTCTCTCTCTCTCTCTCTCTCTCTCTCTCTCTCTCTCTCTCTCTCTCTCTCTCTTTTTGTTTCTTTTGTTAGGGAGCCTTAATTCTTAATTTCCTGAGGTTTAGGCTTTTTTTCTGTTACAAAAGACATCAAATAATTCTCCCTGTCACATTACAGTTTGATGGGAAGGTTGATCTTGGGCCTAAAATATGCAGCCCACATGCTGGCAATGGTGTGTTAGTAAATTGACCCTGGAGAATCTTGACTGGAATGTTGATCTTACGATAATCCTTAACCTTGTGGGGGTGAAGGGGTTACTTATTTTGTTAAAACTGTTTCGTGTGGTTGATAAGACACATCTATTAGTGCAACACAAGTGTTATCCAAAGGATAATTCAGAAACAACATTATGAAGAAAACAGCTAGGTTTGGGATATTATACTTATACAGTAATATACAATTTTTGAATGGTCACTGTTGGACATAGTGTCAGGCCAGTCAGTTAATTTGCTCTTAGGAGTTTGACTGATTGATTAAAGTCTTAATTTTTTATGCATGATTTGTCAGTTTACAGATTTTTCTTTAATTTTTAAGGCATTTAGTTTGGTTATATCATCATTGAGAGGAATACCTTGGATTAAGCATCATTCTACCTGATAACGTCCCTGTCACAAAACTTGTATAAATAAGCTGGAGTTGACAATCTTTAGAAAATTTTCATCTTGTTATGGTGAAACCTTTTATTGTAGAGTTCAACACTATCAAGAATTACTGCCAAAATTTTTTTCTTTATTTGCTGAATTGGAAAACTTATTACAATTATTTTTTCAAGAAGAGTTGAGCAGAATTACATTGATAGCTATATTGATGAGAGATGTTCTGACTTTAACTTTTGTTTTTCCTAATGATACTTTTTTTCTACATGTTCAGAAGCATGATTAAAGAGTAGTTTCAAACCCTACCCAGTTTGCAGAGTCAGCATCATCAATGTTGATTCAGTGTTGAATTAGTGTTGATAATGTTGATTTAATGATGAAGCAACACAATTCTTTGATATTGAGCCCACTGGGTACACTGATGGATCATTTACCACTTGAACCAAAGAAATATACATATACATATACAGTACAGTACAACCTTGAATTGGCTAACTATGTGCAATCAACCTGGACTTGTTGAATCCAAAGAGCTTTTCCAAAGGTGATGTCTTCAAGAGGCATATGTGTGGTGCCTTTTTATTATCATATAAAACGCAAGAAATATACATTGTTATGAAAATATGTATGGTAGTACACTACTCTACTGTAAAGTACTCTAACATAATTTTATTTCCCTTAACAATGGTATATGGCTTGCTTAAATTCACTTGTAAATACTGGTACAGTACTGTAATGCGGCTACTGCTGTGCTGGTGCTAGTACTCCTCTTTCTCCTCTTCTCTCCTCCTCCTCCTCCTCCTCCTCCTCAACAGCACTGGTAACATTATGGAGAACCACCACCTCTGTTAAGTGATCAGTGGATGCGTCAACAGCATCATTATCTAACCTCTCCACCTCATCGTCTAGGGTCATCTCCTCCTCACTAGCCTGTTATAGTTCTTGATAAATTTGATTCTGAAAATCTTTAAAATCAGTGACATCATCCTCAGCCACTTTAGCAGTACCAAGCTTCATGATTTTCCTCCAACAATTTCTGTATTTAGACTTATTCTGAATTTTAATTTGGAACAAGGAATTTTCAACTGGGCTAGTTCAATCCCTGATCGTCCAAATAGTTGGGCACCATTCCTTCCCCCCTTCCCATCCCAAATCCTTATCCTGACCCCTTCCAAATGCTATATAGTCGTTCTGACTTAGCATGTTCTTCTGAGTATTACCTTACCTTATTCCAAACTTTAACCCAGTTGAAAATTCCTTCCCTAATTGAGAATATTTTTTAACTTTCCAGTGTTGCTTTACCTCGTGAATTAGTTCCTTGTTTTTTGCCCTTCTCTTGACTCGGAGAAACACCATGATTTCCATATGCATTGTTTATTGAGCATAGATAACGTTGCATAGATAGCAAACACAATGCATGCATTGGCTGGATCAGTAACATGTTGTTCTGTGATAATGCCATACATGTTCTTCAAACCTGGCCCCAGGCTGGCTTCAGGGAGTAGAAGAACTCCCAAAACCCTCTCCCATGTATGTTCCAGGTATGTAAGGCCATGCACGTGATTCAACCATCATGTGTTGTTAATTTGTCATGGCTGAAATGAGCTGGAGCATTGTCAGCCAAAATATCATTAATTAAACATCACTCTACACTTCTTTATTTGAAAAAAATTCTAACATCTTTGCCAAAATTATTTTTGAACCAGTTTACAAACATGGCTCCAGCCAACCAAATAGTTTATGCGCTGTTGTAGACCACCGGTAGCCTGTTCAGTAAATTTTTAAAAGCATGTCATGGCTATTACTTATAATTCTTTGGTCTGTGAGTGCCATGTGATGGAACCTAAATGTCAAAATGTTGTTCTATTATCATCATATTTTAAGCATGTCTCATTGGCATTATGCACCTAAAAATACATTAGATCATTTGTTAGCATGTAATCAATTAATATACACACAAATGTCTCAACACAATCTATATTTTTCACTTAATGCCTCTACAAAAAAATTTATTCTTACTATTGTGGTTATCCTTAAATCTTTGCAACCATTCTTCACTCACTTTAAATTTCTGGGGTGCTCATCTTTTCAGCAAATTTATCTGCGGCAGTTTTGATGGCATTGCCAACAACATCCATGCCTACAAAACGCTTCTGTAAAAACCATTTGTACACAGCTTCATCTAATTTCATGTGTAGCCCTTTTTATTTCCTTTTCTCTAAGGCTCTACTATCACTTCCAGCAAGGGACTTCTTAGATTGCCTTTTTCTGTGGGGTCCCTGTTGGCTCCCTGAAGCTATTTGAACTGATATGTGCTATATTGGTTTGTGGTCATCAGTCACTGGAGTCCTTATGCCTACCGGGAACCACAAGCCAGAACCTGGTCCCCTCAGAGAGATGCAGGGAGCAATGGCCTATGAGCACTTCCACCATCATCACCATCACCACCACCACCACCACCACCACCACCACCACCACCACCACCACCACCACCACCACCACTACCACCACCACTCCAGTTCTTTAACTGATGGGCTGGAGTCAGCTCGGTCACCTCTGGCCTCAATTTCCTGTTCTGGATTTTGCCCTGTGTGGCTGTATCAGCAGTGTGTGGTATGGAGGCCAGGTGTCTTGGATGCGGAGCAGCATGCGCCTAGGGTGATCTTCCCAATGTACTCCATAAGTACTACCCTTTCGTTTCAGGGTTATCTTCCCTAGGGTGTTCGGGACTCACTCCCGTTTGAGGAGTGAGAATCCCTTCATCAAAAAAATTATTAATACTGTATTACGACTTTTTCGTGTGATTCGTCATACATGTATTGCACATTATTTTTCTGTGTTTGGTATTCCTGCTCTTACTCCTCTCTGATCAGCAGGTTCATTGGTTATATTTTTGGGCAAGTGTTTTGCCATATAGTGTGTGATGCTTGGGTTCTAAGTGTCATGTTTTGTGTTGCGACGACTGGCCACCAGGGCGGCACATCGGTCGTGGCCCACCATCTTACAGCTGGGGTTTGTTGTCATCCACTCTTTCAATTTGGCGGTTGAACGTTTCACATTACTTTCTCGCTTTTTGGGGCATTTTTCATTTCATTGATGTGCCATTGTTCTTACCATAAATGCAGTTGTTCTTTTCTGTGTAATATGTCTCAGGTGTGGGTTATGTTTGCTATGACATGGGTCAGGATGTACATGAATTGGTGTGTGCTTCTCTCATCACTGCCGGTATGCCATCTGTGGTTTGGGTAAGTTTGTACTTGCTGTGTTGTACTCTTCTAATTGTGCTTGTGGGGGCTGTGTTTTGGTTCTTGGGCCTGCCTCTCACCTGTCATTCTCCTGGTGGACCCATTCCTGTGCTTCTCGAGCTCTTGAGGCTCTACGTTGATCTTATGTAGGGTGTCAGCTTCCACCACTTCACTGCCTCCTACATTTCCCTTAACTTTTCCTTTAACTTTAGCACCATTTTCCCTACTGCGAGGCTCGCAGTGGATGCTTTTCGACAGGACTGGTCACGGTGGGGATTCCTGTACATCTTTTTATCCTGGTCTGACTGTTGCTCAGGGTTTTGGCTCGGCTTGAATCCCATCAGGGAAGAGGGGTTCTCCTGGCCCCATGGTAGCCAACGCTTCTTGCTCGGTGTTCAAACCCGGGAGTTTTTCTGCGGCTCCACCTCTTTCAGCAGGGTGGGTCAGTGTGGCACTTTGCTGGTTCGACTTACTCTTCCGTTCTTTGCGTCTGGATTTTCTGATGGGGTGTATCGCCTTCTGTATGGTGATCAGGTGGCTTCTTTGATGGTGTCTCATCGGTGGTCTTTGTCTCAGCGACAGAACTGTATGAAGTTTCTTGGTGGTACAGTATTTCTGCCATTTCCAATCCCTTCGTAGGGGTTTCGTCTGTGTCGGTTAATGTTGTCTTGTCCTTTCTTGGCTTTTCGTGGACCTGCATCTTATGCAAGTAATGCTAACGAGGGGAAATGCTAGTCCCATGAAGGGTTGTTTGTTTGTTTCTCCCTGCGCCTCTCTGAGGGGACCAGGTTCTGGCTTGTGGCTCCCGGTAGGCATAAGGACTCCTGTGACTGATGACCTCAAACAAATATAGCACATATCAGTTCGGATAACTTCACTGAGCCTCCGGCGCTCACCCAGAAAGTGGCATTTCATTACATTCAACTCTGGTGTTTTGGTTATACTGTACAGTATATTGTTTAGTAATACTGTAGTATTATGATAAAAGTGGGTGAGTAAATTCAGCCGGCAAGGTGTGCGTTTCAACCAGATATTCATCAACATGGCTCTCTGTATCAAGATTGCACTGTACAGTACAGGCCCCCTGTATGTATTTTTAGTTTCCTAATGCCCTATATTTTCCTTTTGACCTTTTTCTTAAGTTATGTAATGAACTTCCAGTCATTCAGAGATAGTTTTAGTTTGTAAATATTCATGTCATGAGTAAATGCACCGACTATAAAAGAATACAGTACCTCTATAAAGCTGCCGAACTGACACCTTATTTAACACGCCCTGTGTTAATTTGCAATGCCTTTTATTCTTCCTTGTTCATTAAAAAAATTCTTGAGTTTATTCCAATGAAGGTAAAAATCATTTTTCCATACGTGGTAGGGAACTCGATCTACCATGAGAGTTGGTAGGGAACTCGTAAGATCAAATCTATAGTACAGTACAGTACAGTACAGTTTTCAGTTCTTTATTCTCCAGTAGTATCTGAGCTGTAGCCATTTTCTTAATCCTGTTCATGCTCCTTGAAAAAAAAATGGCAAATGTGTGTTAAGTAGCATACTGTGTATAAGTGTCTCCTTAGAGACTATACATATAATTTCATGATTGATTTCCTGTGATAATCACAGTCGTAAATATTCTTTTTAGAGAAATAAAAATACTGAAATTATGAGTTTTGTGAATACTGAGCTTGTGCCAGTTAGTAAAAGGTTTATATCTTGCATGACACCAGGGGTAGACTGACTTGAAAGCCAAATCAGCATTTTTCTTGAAAATTAGAGAATCCGGTTGAATAGTCTTGACTTGAGCTCATTAGATGAGATGCTTGACCTTAAATGTTTCCCCTAGCCTTTTTTCTATTACATGTAGGTAAAATTTAAACAATAAATTTGATATTTAGTACTGTATATTCTTTTGGACTAACAGATTCCAAATCTTCAGTGTTAAATA